GCATATGTGTGCATCAATGGGTTTGTGTGTGGGGTCGTGTAAGTTGGAGTGCGCGTGATGAGGTGTGTGGGTACGGGTGGGTTGGTGGAGGAGTGGATAGGTTTACAAAACCCGGTGATCTGAATAAGAAGAAAAGTACCTTGGAAGAATCTGCCTCGGCTGCGCTTCTGGGTGTCCACATCTGCTGAAATTGAACACGTATCTCTGCAAATGTTTCAATGAGCACAGCAATGAAGACATTCTAGAAGAAAAAAATAAAATTCGCGTCGTATTTCACGGTATGACTTAAAGGCATGCTATATATTAATTTTTTTAATATGGATGGTGAAGAAATCGCCCAAGAAGGATTGGTAGACTAGCGAAGATAGACGAAACGTTAGCAATAACAGTGACCCTAAGTTGCTTAAGGTGATTGTAAGACTGTTGAATGATTAATCTTCCAAATAAGATGGGTAAGCCTCAGAATCCAGTCTCGGCGTCGTATATTTCTCATCAACACCTCTAAAGGGATTCGATACCAGGTCGGGAGTAGTGCGGTGATGTCACATGTGTCAAAGCATCACGGAGCACGTGTGACATTCGAAACAAGTTAGGCCTCACCCAATTCGCATGGCGATACTCATGCTAATCATGATCCGGTATCCAATCACGTTGTAGGTTATGACGAGATCTATACGAAGTCTTAACTGCTGTCAATCCTTGATGAGCTAACATTTTGGAAGGTAAGGCTAAATAAAATATAATGGCATCGTGAAACCTAATCATCTGATTTTGGGTAAATTTAACCATCGGTTCCGGCATCACCCTAAATTGTTGAGTTTACTTCCATTTCAAGTGGAAGTGTTGGGTGAAGAGATTCGAAGGTCGGTTCCACTAGAAGACGACGGCGGATTCCTCTTGACCAGCTGTCGATTGGCTTTACTGGAAGATTCATGCTGAAGCTGTTTTCTAGGCAATCTCCTTCGATTCCGATAAAAAGGTGCTAAGATTTCGTCCGTCATATGACGGACATCATCAGAGCCAATCGACAGCTGGTCAAGAAAAATCCGCCGTCGTCTTCTGGTGGAACCGATCTTCGAATATCTTCACCCAACACTTCCACTCGAAATGGAAGTAAGCTCAACAATTATGAAACAAGAGATTCCTCGAAATCCAACTTTTCCTCGTATATATTACCCTAAATGACCTAGGAGGACTGATTTCTTATTCAATAAGCTTGCTAGACTCTAAAAGTATTTGCATCAAAAGGACTGATATGGTCTCTGAAAAGAAGTATTGAAAAGAAATAGAGTTTTGGGTATGCCGAAAGCCCTTTGCTAGTCTCACATCTGGCCCAAAGTCTTGGGGAATGTGTGGCAGTCAAAAAGAGAAGCGAACTTTTAATAATTATCTCTGATCTACATCGACTGAGCCGATGCTTTACGGATTATGCATAAATTTGGTCCTTTTTTTGTATTGTAAGAAGTGTTGCATTATTATCTCTATTTCTCTCCTCTTCTAAGTAATAGCCCAATGAACTAGGTAATATGCGTACATAGGAGGTAAGAAACTCATTCATGTAGTGAAGGTTTAAACAAAAAGCGAGATGCTGAAAGGTGAAACCAAAAATCGAAAAGATGTAAGACCTTAAACACCACCTTGCTTTCATCTTCCCTCTTCTGTGTCACATAGTTGTGGGTAGCTGTAGTAACTTGGTCTTATTGGTGTGTGGGGAAGCCGTCGACTGCATCTTCCAGCTTGCTAATTATTGTATTATTACCAATATTGCTATTGTTGTTATTATTAATGACTTGCCAGAGTTAATACGACTTTTGTATGACCGAGCCTGTATGCGCCAGATTACCCTAGAGTTTTGGACATTCAAAGGCAAAACTGAACTTTATTCGTGAATCTTCACATGCTCAAAAAGGCTTTTAGAGCTGCAAGCTTACTTTGACTAGCCAGGCGAGAAAGAAGATCATTGACATGAAGTAGACTACTCCTTTCCAGGTCGCCAAACAGTCCATCGCTCGGTACATGATGAATACCCAACCCTCCTGAGAAGCGGCTTGGTAAACTGTGAAGATGCTTATATCTGATTAATGTAAAAATAAGGCGAAAAGGAGCTCATATAAATGGTGAAAGGAGGGACTCATTCGCATGCCTAAAAATCCAAACTATTCAGGCTTTTTTAAAGAAGGTTAATAGTAAAATACAGTTCAACAATGTAACTTTGTAGCATTTTTACTAAAGCCTGACGAAGATTTGGGGGCTAATTTATAGAAATATCTTCAAGTAATTCATTAGAAAGAATCGTGAACGTTCTACAAGCAAAATCCTTGAAGGTAAATTGTGTGAAGAATAACTTCAAAAGGCATCTTAGCAGCTTGTAGATTCCTCTTCTTAAAGTATCAAGGGCTGAAGCTTTTTGCGATCGGTGCAGTCCATATAACGAGGTGTAAATCGCTCAGCGGATGATAGCCAAGTACGTGTCGAGATTATGCGCTGCAGGTCATGGTTCGGGTCCCCCTGAGGGTGTTGAAAATATATATGCGAGGTCGAAACTGTAGTCCATTCTAGATGAGAATACCTTTTGGGAATGTAAGGCAATGCGAAATTCAATGAAAACACTGTCTACTCGTATCAGTGTTGGATGAATACGTCTCATTTTGTTAGTCAAGTAGCTATCACCTCCCAAATCCTCAGCGTAAAGCCATTATCAATTTTGCTCCGGAAAATCCAATAATGGTTGTTAAAGGATTATTTGAATACCTGCCTATTTTCATATGTCAAAAGTCAAAATATTCATAGAAACCATGATTATTCCATCCTGACGAGTAAGCCAAATAGCGATCTCATGTAAACTCTAGGGTACAGAATGTTGAAGTTTATCAAACTGTCATGATGCCTCAATGCAAGCAAGTCACACACTAAAATGGTAAAAATAAGCTCAAGAGTCGGTGTGGTAAATTCAATTTTCTTCTTAACCTAAATATGAAGATCAAGATGTTGCGGCTCCTATTTGGGTCGCGGTCTCTTTCCGATGTATAGAAGTGGTCTGACCTCGTTCTTGCCCCTTGTCTTGTTGTCAGGGCTACTTAGTTGGACACACCTTTCCCGATGTCCTCTACTATAATAGTTATGATCATTCCAACGATTGGACCGTGGACTTGGAATATTATCAGACTTGTCTATTTGAAAAGTCGTAGATTGGTGCTGACCAGGGCAAGACTCTCAGCAGATGCTGACTACGATGCCGGCGAGACATCTGGGAATGAAAAAAGTCCATGGTTTAACGCTGTGGATTGCCATGACTATTATAGCAAAAGACTTTGGACAAGATGCGTCTCCCTCATCATACAGCCAAGTTGCGAAAACGAGGTTATACCACTCCAATTCTGTCACTTTTATCGCTCAATAGCTGAGGCTTCATCACTGGTTTGCTTTATGGCCCAAATAAGATTGCCTCGTCATAGTCTGAACTTTTCATAATAGCATCAAGCCAAAAAGACTGGCCGTTTAGAGTACATATTATCTTGTTTTATGTCTTTCCTACGTCATGTGAAATTATAAAATTTGCCTCATATTGTCTAAGTGAAAGTGAGCATATCGGCGACTTGTCTTAAGTGTAGGAAAGTGCATGATAAAAAGTTTTAAGTTCGAGCTTACCAGAAGATAACGCCTGGTTCTCGTCGTTCTGTAGACCCCTGCCTTTAATATAAGGTTCAGGTTTACCCAGTTCACTTGACCTCTTTCCACGTTTGGATGAAAACTGGCTAATCTTTTGTCTTACATTCCAATGAACGACATCATCAGAGTTGGAATTCAATTTTGCAGAAACTTCTGGTTAACACCAGATCAAGAAGACCATCCGGCTCTATCCAACATGCTCTAAATATTCATGACTAGACACAAAAATACATAACTATGGATAGATACTGTAGAGTGATTTGGTTAGTCTTCTTTGATAATAATCAGAGTATCTATCGAAGTTGGTTGACCTCGTTGTCGCAACTTGGTCTTGTGGTCAGGGAGACTATGTAGAACCCACCTAGTCCGAAGTCGTCTGCCATAGTGGTTGTCTTGATTTCCAGTATCTGACAGTGGACTTGATACATTCTCAAACGTTTCGCCGGCTTCATAGTCGGCATCATTAGTGAGTTTTGCCATTCGCCGCACCAAGCCACGAACTCGTCAAAGAGACAAATGAAGCCAATCTCTCGACAAATGTTCTGCCGAAAATGGTTACACTATCATTCCTCTTTCTAGCCTGTCCTATCTGTCTACTCTTTACCCAGGAATCATGACAACTACTATGGCAGACGACTTAGGACTAGGTGTGTTTTACATATTCTCCCTGACCACAATACTAAGTTGCGACAATGAAGTCAACCAACTTCTATAAATCGAAAGGAGACTGCGACCACACCAGAGGCCACAACATCTTGGTCTTCATATCTTCAGAGTATTTATACTTGAGTATGTGTATGTGTGCATATGTATGGCTGTGAAGACCCATATCACTGACGGTGCAATGGCAGACTCGTAATCTCAAGACCGCCTAGTCTGGTGTGAAATTAGTCAGTAAGTGGCACTTGAATATACTCAAGCAAATACAGTTCGCCACTCACGAAAAGACTCAAATCCGGCGTATCCACCCTCATCCTGAATTGACGTCTTTAGGCGAATGCACTTCATATTGTCGGGGCATTGATTTGAGGAACCGGGCGACCGAGAAGGGTCGCAGTAGGAGTCTGGGATCGCGAGATCACTTTTCATAATTGCGCTATAGAGGGAAGAGAAATTAGATGAAAAATACATTTACCGAGAAAACGGAAGATAAAAGGCAACCCAAGCTTCACTGAAGTTCTTGGACTATTTTTAATCGCTTATGTCTGTGGAATGTTTTTTTTCTCTTCCAAATTCGCCCTAGGAAAATGCTTCCGCCCGGATTATGAAGTTCTCTACCTCCTATTGCCGATGATTTAGCCATGTTGACATCTGGTTAATACGCCAAGACCACAAATTCTCAGCTTAAGATTAAACGAGGTTGTCCTCATCCATCTTATATATAGACTGATTAAATAATATATATATATATTTATGATGTGTAATATTGTCAAGTACAATACCCTCTAACCGAAAGTTCTCATCCCTCTACAACTCAGACATCGGACTTGATTCCTATTCGGCTGTGACTATGACCCAAGTTTCGTAGCACGTCATATGTGAAGGGCAATCTAGGGTCATATAGATGCTTTTTGACATTTTATTTTGGGTTCAAGCGGCCTGAAAAATGCATAGGTTGATAATGAGCTATGCATCTTGTTGCCCTAGCACGCAGCTATATTCGAGAATCAGAGTTGTTTTTGAATGTCGACCATTTTTCCCACCTAGCCACTATTAAGTATGTTAACTATGCAATGTAGTGCGCACAATTAAGTTTGTTGCATATGAACTGGAGCAGGTTATACAACTTCAGCATAACTAACTAATTGTTTAATAAGTCTTTGGAATAAAATCTCGTCAACTGCTCCCACTAAGCTTGACTAAGGTAGAGAGATAAGCGTATAGAAACAGAAGGGCTGATGTGTGAGCTGTTCATATTGTGGTAAATAAAGAGCCTAATCTTAAGGTAGTTATTTGGCCCTGTTTTCGCGACTTTGTCATTTTGGTGGGAAGACATATAGGAACTCATCTTGTTAGAGGTCCATAGGATATATGACACTCTCCAGAATTGGACCCTGAACTCTGGGGATTATCATGCAGACTATGGACTCCGGACAAAGCGCGTTCTTTTAGGTATTACTGCCAATATGGCCAAGTTGCGAGAACAAGATCAAATGGCTACTATACATCGAAAGGGGACTGTGACCAAAATAAAGGCCACAATATCCTGGTCTTCGTATCTACTCCCTAACTTTCAATCTCCTTCATGAAATTAGGAAATGTATACATTGAACAGGAATCCAAGGGGCGATCTGGACAAAGCTGTCCTATTGCTATCTCGCCAAAGTAAACTTTTGTAGATATAACATTATAAATCACAGGGACTATGTTTACTGATATGATTGTAGACAAATGTCAAAAGTATGGAAGTCATATTATGAATATTATATAATCTAAGGGGTTTTGTGTGTAAGATAGCTATGCAGGTTGGGCTGTCTTGTAGTTAGGATTGAATTTGGATAAATAAATCTCAATAAAAGATAATTGGAAAGTGTTCTTGTTCCAGAATTCGCTGCAGATTTACCAAACTAGTATATTAGATGTATTCACCGTATTTCTTTTAAGGTGATGAAGGACTGGCTCTACTCATAACGTTGGTTGAAAATCCTACTAACTGTCCTTCATGACCTTAAACCATATAGGGTGAATACATCTCATATAACAGAATTTACTTTTAGTCCTGAAACTCTGTTTATTTTCAAACTAGTATGGAAACTTGATGTACCTAACTTCTGATAGCCAGAGCCTAAAAATCCCTTAAAATAATATAGTGATGGTACATCATATTCTCATTAACTTAAAGGATTCTGCCTACTGGCCAAAGGAGTGCTTTTGGTAATAGGCGTTGTGAAAATGTAAAGAGAGAAGCTTTTGAAGAAAGAAATTAGGAAAGGCACAACAAAATTATAATTAAGATACGACTGAAGATCAATGGTTGCCTGTGCACATACCATTTACACATATCCTACTACAATGAAACTATTCACAGGCTACTAACCTGTCATTGGTGCTATTCAAGACGCAGTGGTAGTTCAGCTCATCGCCAAAGAACTGCACCCCCAGTAAGCCGTAAAGTGACATGAAGAAAAGCAGGAATACACTTACGTTGTAGACTTGATGAGTTGATCGCCTAGTTTAAGAAAGTGGCAGAAAATAAACTTGCTCAAATTACTGAATTTATAGCTCAATGGCAAAATTTTCTTTGTTCTTCCAAAGTTTGATAGCGGAACCACCCAAGATTCAATAAGGCATAGACTTAAATTCTGATCAGCATTCCATTTCAAACGCTCCTTGATTCGTGAGTTGAGCAAATTTTATCATTCCTAATAACAATAGTAGCCGTTATGTTCGGTTTCACTTTATATGCAATTTGAAATGTGTCCACTTTCATGGTGTAGACATTTTGTTCGACATGGAAACATTTTCACTATCTTAATATTTAGACGATGTCCAACAGGAAGGTTGAAATTATTTTTAACTTTTAATTCTCTCGCTATTGATACATAGGCATGCATTTTTACGTGACTTGTAGGTCCATTCGCAGCACTAGGCAATTATGGTATCAGATGTGTTACTCTAAGTAGCGAGTATGAATTAACCAAAATGTAGCCTATCTTACCTATTACATCTTTTATGTATTCTTTATAGTAAAGAGCTTATGCTTTAATACTTAACCAACCGGGCTAAGTTGACTAACATTTTAGTCCCTAAAGACTGGGATACACATAACTGATATACCAATGGTAGTTTTCGAGGATTTAATGCCTCACTGCATGCCACACAGTACCATGCATTTCAGACCGTAACATCAGATTGTAGTTCCTAGATTGTAGTGCTTACATTACCACTACATCTGTTAAGCACTTAATTGAAAAAAGTGCATAGCATAAATTGTATTTTTAGGGACTATCGACACCATTTTGCATTAATTTCGCTAAACTGCTTTTTATCTTTCATGCTCGCTACCTTCGCCAGCCTATTCTGATACCCGTAAATGATTTCCACCTTATAGTTGGCCTTATTTCCCGTCGAGACAACTGTGACATGTTAGTTACAGGCAGAAGGTGACCTACTGAAAAATGGCGTTTACACGCGCTTGCGGTAGCTGCAGCTTGAGCACAACTCTGAAGAGACGAATCAAAACAAGCGGCCGTGGGCAACGAATTATTGCTAGAAATCCGTAGTTGGCGAAAAACGCCTCATTCGTCTCGCAGGTTGCCGAGAGACCGCCTGGACATTGAAGCATGGCGTACAGTTCGAAGCTCTGAAGGACCAAAGAGGCCCATATGAAGAAGGCCATGCTGGCGTCGAAGCAGTTCCAGAAACGGCAAAAATAGGCTTTATTCTTCCTTGAATTCAGATTGCCTGCGGCCGCCATCTGTGTTATGGCGGAGAAGTAAAAAGTGATAATGCTAATTTGGTATCTGCCCTGTCGGCCCACTAAAAACATGCATCTGGGGAATGCTGGTGGAAGGCATACTTTGTTTGGTTAACCTCCGGGCTCGTAGAAGAAGGAAAAGCGTAAATTCACATAACCATGATCATGTGGGAACCATCATGCGAATATAGTGGGAATGGGGCATCAGCTGGGAAGAATAGATTGTGCATGTGCACACGTGCAAATGGGCCATCAAAAAACAGAAAAGGAAAGGAAGTATTACAAACTAAAATTTCATTGCTTCAGTCATACAAGACCATGTGCCAAGTGAGTTCATGCAGTCCAGCAGTAAAAAAAGGCGAAATTAAACTAAATTAGGAATAAATGCAGGCTAGCCCTTTGTGAAAAAATGTCAACATTCCTAAAGAGAATAACAGACAATAGCATGATTGCTGGGAAGCTTAAACGAAATGAAAAGTAAAATTGCCGAAAGCGTTTCGCCTTCAGAGCTGGGCGGGTGACAAATGGCAAAATAAGGCTTATGTACTTCTCAACCAAAAGTGGAGATGAAAAACTGAAGCTTTTCACGGACAACAAGATCAGAATAAAAGTAAAAGATGAAAACGGAAATTTTTCTTTTAAAAATAAAGTAAAATAAACAGTGTTTCAATTGTGCTGGAACTGTTATGAAAAAGATGAAGTGTATCTTACCTTTGCGGATATCGTGGTTTTGATAAGCTGATTCAAATCCTGTTTTCAAAATTTTGTCGTGCAAACTGATGGGTTAGTTCTGCCAAGTTAAATAGATTTAAGCATTGAGGTAAGAGAAAATCCAAAATAATGTAAATACTTTGTAAGCAGGTTTTTGGGAAAACCTATCGTTCTGGAGAAGCCAGGCTAAAGTATATCAATTTCTCCCATACAAGAATGGGCAGGTTATGCTGCGAAAACATAAAATTGTCAGTCTGATCTCACATTGCAGGGTTGTACTTATAGCCCTACACATGTTTTATATAGTTGAGCCTTGTTAGCAGAAAATTGTGTGGAATAATTTTTCCTATTCTAAACTACTGGAGTACTCTGCTATTGAGAAGGTGATATCATAGGCCATTCTAGGTTGCTGATCCTGATATATGAATCGTCCATAATGACCGAAACTTACCTTTTTTCTCAAATAAATCTTTTGGGTCGAGTAAAAATCGTACTTCTAATGCAATACAAACTCCGGATCTATGTCCAGTGAACTTTTGCCCCGGAAGGTCTAAATGTTAGCATTTCCGTCTACTAGAAAAAGTGGCTATTAGTTCACGGAAATTAAGCATCCTTATATTCGCATTAGTAAAAAGGTAAAGACGCCATTACACTAGCTAGTATACATGAATGTAGGACTATAAAATTATATCTGATGGTACACTGTGACCAGATTGTAGCTTGGGTTCGATTATAATATGATTAAAAGGTTCATTTCACTAGATTACAGTGTTGGATCTAGATCTATAATAATCAATTCTCTCTTCTTTCCTTTGCACAATTCATTTGTCAGACCACAAGATGCCAATTGAAGATATGAAGACCAAGATGTTGTGGCCTCTGTTTGGGTCGCAGTCTCCTTTCGATTTATAGAAGTGGGTTGACCTCGTTGTCCCAACTTGGTCTTGTGTTCAGGGAGACTATGTAGAACGCACCG